ACAGTCGTGTTTAGGTGTGTTTTCATAATTAATTTAAATAATATTATAAATAAAATAAGCATGGTAGTTTGATTATCGAAATAATATATTAAATACTACCAGAAAAAAAAATATAAGTATTTATTTTCATTTACTTTACGGTAGACCCGTAAAGCTAACCCCGTATTAGCTTGTTTTAAACTTTTTTTATTACTTAGATAGTATTTATATATATCTGATTATACATGATATGCTTATGTAGTTACCAATTAGATATTAAATGTGAATCCTGAATCAAGCGGCGGCAACGGCACAAAGTATGTTACTTTTTAACCTGAGCGATTCGCGACCGGCTAAACTTACCACTCCGCTAAATAAAGTTAAAAGGCTCTTCTAGCTTTGTCTCGAACCGCCTTTGATGTACGCCGAGAGTCCCCCCCATACCCTCGGCCCCCCATCGCTCGCAAACAGTTTACCACAAACTGAAACTATTGCCTTTAATGCCTTTTCCGATTGGATGTACCCCCAATTGATTAGTATGTTATGTAGTAGTGCCAAAGGAATTTCCCAGGAAGCGACCGATATCGGAGTGGGCCTTTTGATGAATGATGATCACTAATACCGGGACCCTTATCACTCTGATCTCTTGTTATGTGCCGCCCGCCCGCCGACTGTCGTCTCAGTCTCAAACTTTGTCATTATGGTTTGCTTTATAATTATACATATTTTTATGTGATAAGATAAACTAAGTTAGTTTAAAGATGGATAAAAAGGATAATAGTGAACGTTACTTATAGTTTTACCATTCGTTGAAGGAATATTGTGTTTGAGCATCGTATAACATATAAATGTTTAAAGATAACTTTACATAAGGCACTTTTCTTTTCGCTATTAAAGATTACCTAAATTATATTAGATGGTTTTGAACTCAGTACAAGGTATTATAAGTATTGGTATATCCTTGATACTTTGAAGTATTTCATCTCTTTTTTCCTTTTATCAACCAACATCCAACTAATAAGGCGGATGAGAAATTAATACACGAACACATACAAGATGCACAAAGCCTTTTTATATCACAAAGCAAATTAAATTGCAGCTCGCTTTGTCCACAATAAAGGACACATTTGCGCACAAAGCGAGACGCACAACAGGTAGTCGCGCGCGCGTTCTACGGACGGTGGACTTGCGAAAATTCAATTAGAGTAATAACTACGCAGTTCCATTATACCAATCAAAGGAAAACTGAAAGTTTGTACACATCAAAGACTCGGTTAGTGACTAATGGCTAATGGCGATTTAGGGACGCTGCCGACTCACACACAGGGCTGTCTCTATCTAACTATACGTCCTACTAATGACACCGTATCTATCAGTGGCATTTATTATATACTAAAATTTAATAATAAAAATGCAAGTCTAAGCACGACTTCGCTTAAGTGTTGCTGACAGTGACATAACTATAGGGAAGCTGAAATTAGTAGCTATCAATTAACCCTTAGCCACTTACCAGCGGTCTTAGAGACCGCTCGCATTAAATGGCTCCAATATGATGAATGTTTAAAGATAATTGGGTTAATTTAAATAAAATTGGCATTTCTAAAGTATACACTGTTTACTAAAATAAACTTTAAATAAAATGAACCCTTTTGGAAAAAAGTGAAAAATTATGTTAGACTATAAATTTTAATAAAAACTAAATGTATTCGGTAACTAAAGTCATAACTAATAGAACCTCGAAATCCTATATAATTATATTTAGTTCCCAAAGTTTACTCATAAAATAACAGAAGGAAAATATTTTTAAACCACTATTCCTTTTTTGTTTGCGTTTTTATGCGAATATTAATTATGAGCAAGTCCAAATAATATTCGCATAAATACGCAGATTCTTCCTCATAATCAACCTCTGAATCGGATCCACTAGTTTCTTCTAGTGTGTGGTCACTAACATCAGTAAAAACTCCATTTACTAGATCCTCTTCATCTGACGTATGTTTTTCTAGTCATTTAGCAATAACTTCGTCATTAGCAGCCATTATTCACTACAAACGAAAAAAATACGATAGTAAAATTTTTATGTAACCACTTACAACCGGTCTCACTAACCGCTGATGATGTTGGAGACCTAACAGTGGACAAACGCGGCCACGCAAAACGTCAGCAGCTCACGCTTTACAGACATGTGCGGAAGAAAGGTAGGACGCACGAAACTAAACTGTGCACAGACGAAACGATGAAATATAAACAGAAATTCTACTTTATTTGAGAGGACCGGTGGTTAGTGGTTAAGGGTTAATACAAATTAAACGCCTATGATGTAGGTATATTATTTCTGGATCTCTATCCAATTTCGACTAGCACTCACACGAGTAATGAATCAGATGGAGATTTGCAAAAAAGCATAGCGCACGCTTGCCTTATCAAAAACTGACATACTCGTAACTCCAAAATTGCAAATCTAGAAATGTAACCTTAACGATAATTAAACGTTTAATTTTCAATTTCGCAAATTTTTCGGTCAGTCAGTTTTTACTAAGCCTCCGTTAGCCAATTAATAGTACTAGTGGTCGCCCAGAGATCGAAATTCGACCATAATAAATTTCAATTAGAAGTTATTTAACATAATTAATTAAAATATAGTGTTTAAACATTATTAAGGTTCTATTGTCAAAGACTATATTAATGTCTACTATAACCACGGATTTCGCCAACGCTGAAAAAGATTTGTTTAGCCTCCACAATAAAACATACAAACTATTTTTAAACCAACAATAACGGATTTATATATTTTTTACCTGTATGATGAAATTTTTCATTGAAATTACCGCTGCATTGCATTGTAATTATCACTCAAAATCACTTATTTTTCTGTAAGTACACACAGATAAGGACATTCAGTAAGACCACAGTAAACATCACAAACATATAAAACTTGACACTTGCTAAATGCACATACCTTGCGAAGCCAATATTTAAAAGAAACAAACAAACTCTATGTCAAAAGAAACAATTTGACCACAGAGTACATGTATGCGTGTAGCAAATATTTGTTTGTGTGTGACAAATGCATAGTAGTTAGTGTAATGTTTTATTTATCGATTTAATGCACTGTATAAGCATTATTATTGAAAAATATTCGCCGATTGCAATTCTCCTAATATAAACTATAAGTGTGGCAAATTTCATACTCCTCATTCCTCGCAATTTTCGTAAAAAGGGGTCCAAAGTTTTTGCTTCAAATATTAATATGTAGATTTCAATATTGAATACGGATAGTTTACGTAAACACGGATTTTTCCTCCTGTGGTTTAAGTAAGTGTTTCGTCAACGTAAACATTATCCATTTTTAATTCGATAAGATTCTGTCGCTTTTAATTAAAAATAATCCAGTCAAAGCGCTAACGACAAGAGTCGAGGAAATATTAAGTTGACTGATGATAAGAGCTCTAACGATGCAAAGGAAGTTTCTGAAACAGCGACATTCGATACTATGCCTATTTAAGTAAAATGTTTATTAAAGCTCCACCGAAGAGAAACCTACGACGACTAGAGATCACACATAACAAGCTTTCTGTGTTTAAATTTCCTAGAATCCACGGAGCCACCTTTTGTCTCCAGGTTACGAAAAAATATTTTCTTCTATAAAACAGGTGTAATTAAATGGATTTCGCTGACTTATTTTTCTGCTTGGAACACAGTACTTCTGCGATTCAAAACTTTGAAAGAGGCTTAATTAGGTATTTTTCTTAATTTTTTAAAACAATTTGCAGATCAACACCGAATGAAAAAATAATATAGTTTCAGCTAATGATATTACAACAACAAAAAAGGGTCTGTCAAAGATTTTCTAAGTAACAGAACGGACAATTCCACTTTAGTACCTACGCTCTATCTTACATTTATATGAAAGTCTATATGAGATTGAAAATGCGGAACTCCGGGGTTTGAATCCGGAGCATCGAAACCTAACTCCGAAGCTAAAAAAATTACTCAGATTCCGATTTTGATCGACGCCTTCGTGTTATTATATGTGTTAAGTTTATTTTATCGCTTGAAAAGCTTCATTATTTATACACGAGCAAATAATATATATACTAACGGTTCCAGAATTTTAATTTTTTTGGGATCAAACGAGATTTTAATAAATCAATCTAATCAAAATAAATTTTACGTTGTTGCACGCACTCAGTCTTGCTTTTCCAGTCAGCTGATGCGTGTATTTGTATAGGTTATGTTAAATTTTTTGTGATTTCAGGCTTATAAGTAAATTTACGCGCATTGGGTCTGTTCCTTACCCGTACTTATATGTATGTATCGCACGTACTGTCATCTAAGCATAGGTAAACGTGATTAAACCAAATGAAATCTTACGGAAGATGCGTCGTGCATGTCCTGTCATGTTGGTCGCGGACCGTCAATGATATTTTCACTTGACCTTGTACAATCGACAGAAAAACATACTTCCATGAGACGCTTTACGGATCTTCCGTCAGGTTCGTACCGACCCTTAGCTAAACAATCGCCATTATGTGCATGTGCGTTATTATAATATGTAGTTTAAGCAATACGCAACTCTACTTATAAAAATATTGGCAATATCAAATGTAACATTTTGTACTTGGTGTATTTACAATTAGTTTCTATCATTGGTTTCTATTGTTTCAGATAAAGAAAATCAGCACAACACGCAAGAAAGATGCAGCGGCAATAAGCTGCTAGACGGTATAGTAAATATTTATTAATGAGCAAAAACTAATATTAACTATGTATAAAAAAATGTCTTTTGTAAAATGCAATCCAAAATAACGTTGAAGAATCGATAACGTCAAAAATTTCGCGCCAACAGTATGATGACAGTGATGTCAAGTACTGGTAGTGTCATCTAGTGACGACTCCGGTTTATGCAAATGCTTTTCAACTCGTTATCTATATCGCTGTGGAATTGATAGATGGCGCTAACGTACAGCTGGCTTACTTGTCATTGTCAAGCAAGTGTCAAACGCGCTGTTGTATACAAATCCGTTCCAAGCTAATTTATTATTTATTTCTGAGAAACTTTTCATCTTCCGTCTTCATACTTCAGTGGTGTTAACGTATAAAATTGCTGTGACAAGTAAGGTCAAATTATTTCACCATGTGTTTCTTTCAGTAATGTTCTATAAATACGAGTCTTCCGGGTATCGGCGTAGGTTTTCAGTGGGTAAGGTGCTAAATAATTGCTGTCTAGACGACCTCGTGATGATTTTATGATAACATACGCTTAGGTCTCATAGTGCTCAAGTCTCCTACCGATGTTCTTAGTGACCCGACTGTGTTGTCAGCGGTAATTTGACGAGTCCCGTCTTTGTTTACAAGTCATTTCCTGTATGCCGTCGTCGGACTCTATGAAAATATGATGAATCTGGTTACAATTACAATGAATCTTGTTATTTTATAATCTCTTAACTTTTTAGCTGTAGCCAGTCAGTTTTTATTCTTTCTAAAGAAATAGGTCAAAAACCTTATTTTAAATTGTTGTTGCTGAATTTATTAGATTTACAAAACATACTTTCATACATATCATTCAATTAATTAATCTCAGAATAGTAAAATCATTATTGAGAGATATCAATGATAAAGGATCCAGCAAAAAAAACTTGTATTCACGGGATGTGCAAGGAACACTATTGATTTAATACATATTCATAACCAACCCCATCATTGATTGAAGCTTTCTGAAATATATGAGGGCAAACCTCATCTTCGCTCGTACCCCATTGTGCTAAGCATTCAGTGGAGTTCGGATCTTTCACTCGGACCTCTGGCATTACGTTGCGCAGTCGTGCTGTTGCTGATTGATGTTTGAAAAGATTTTTTATAATCCATAATAAACTAATAAAGATCTATTATTGTACTATTAAAAATATTAATTTTAACTGGTGCTTCTGAGTGCATTGTTTGTTCACACACAATGAACATGGTAAGGCCATTCATATAATTTTTTGTGCCCTATTATAATTTTTTTCCATAACTTGTTTATTGAACCATGAAGTTATGATTTAATTTGTTTTGACATGTTCATAATATGCTTTTCTTTGGAGCCAGATTTAAGATTTTTTTAAATAAATTTTTCTTCATGTGTAATTTTTTCTCCTGCAGTAGTTATGAAATTTAATATTTTTTCCCATACTTATAGTGTGATAATTTGCCACACAAAGGATTACCATTTATTATGATTTTTTTTTTTCATACTTTTGCCGTGCTTGATATTTAAACCCAAGCCGATCAATAACGGAGACTCTTGACTTTGGAACGCTCTCTGATTTTTATTTCTTGTCTCTTTCCAACGCGTAGAAAGCAAACATAATAGAGTATGACTTTTGTTATGCGGTGTATTGATTTTTAACTATTGCCGGGAAACTTACTTCTACTGCGGACAAGTTGAATAAAATATATTTGTATATGAGAAGATGCCATGTTAATTATTATGTTTATTGTAATCTTGTGATTATATCTCTTTTACAAGATTCTGTTTCTAATTTTTGTTATTAATAACTGTTTATTAGTATTAAATTGTCATATATTGACATATTATAATAAATAGTAGTTAATAATTCAAAATTTAATATGTACATGCTGGTTTGTATTTATTGATTCAGTGTTTATAACATAGTGTGCTCATTCTCCAGGTGGTTTCTCGCCATGCAGCGCGCGGGTGGGAGAAGGGCCTGTGCGCCATGAGCCACACTCCTATAGGCGGCCACCCGCAAGGTAAAATCATGGTTAAGTAATAAAATACAAGTGGTAAAATAATATACGCGCTTTTAACATTCTAAGCGTGAATTTTGATGACGAAACTATTGGTACTTGGATGCTTGTATTATAAAAAGTCACTAAAATGATAATTGAAATAATCTGAATATATATGAAGTTAAATTTTATTATCTATATAATTTGATGGAACTGAAATTAAAGTTCTCTGAACTGATCATCTTTAGTATAGATAAATAGAAGATCAGTTGAGAGAATTTTCAATTTATAAGATATTCACATTTATAATATTAATAGGATTATAAAAAGGAAAGTGTTAATTGTTTGTCTGCATTTAATAGGCTCCGAAACTATTGGACCGATTTTAACCCTACACTGCATGATTTTTTTTTTTTAAATAAAAAATCTTACCAATTCATGTTTATGGTCTAGAACACGGGAAGTACAGGTAAATTGAAAAAAAACTAATAGTAATACAGAAAAATGTTTTTTTTATTTTGTTCCATATGTGGCACAACATGCAATGACTTACATAAATTTGCTTATTTAGAGGTGAAATAAACGGAAGCAATTTTTTTCTTTGTTTAAACAAAGTTCGACTCTGCATTTTTCGCACACAACAAACGACTTTCCTTTGCAGCCTGGATACTTGCATCGCTGGCGCTTCTGTCCCCATATGGGGAAGTGTTCCACTCCATCAGACCTGACGTCACGAGTAGGAAGAATCGCTGAATTGGCTCTCATTCTTTTTGCCTCTATCAGATCACTAGCAGAAGACGGTCGGCCTCTTTTCTTGTTCATTGATGAACCACACATACAGAGGCTCTTTGCCACTTCAAACTTGAAGTCTTTCAACTTTATCGGCGTAGCTCTTTGTCGCATCTCCCCAACTCTTCTGTATAGCAACCAACTATTTATGGTGGCTATGTCGAGGAAATGGTAAAACAGCCTCAAATACCACTTCTTTGTCCTCATTTTTATTTTGTACTTATCCAGGAATGAGTCCAGCAAGTCAACTCCACCCATATGCTGATTGTAGTTGCGAACAATTTGAGGGCAATCGATTTCTATATATTTCTTTTGTTTTTTACAAAACCTCCTTACTTTTTGAGTAGGCTCTTTTCCAACAAAAGATGAAGACAACACCACCGGCTTATTATCGTACCACATAACTGTGACGATATCAGTGCCATTTACATTGCCTACCCATTCCTCGGAATATCCTCTTTCCTTCTTGCTACTTTTTAGATCTTTCAATGATGGTATTAGTATAGATTTGCCTAGTCGTCCTTTATTCACGGTTCCCATAGAATATATCCCTTCATTGGCAAGATACATAATCAATTCAGGGCATGTGTAGTAATTATCGAAGAATAATCTGTAATATTTATCCCTGGGTATAGACCTTGCAAGCCGGATAACAATGTTGGCACTTGCGCCTAAATCAGGCTCATTATGAAGCCTCAGATCTGCGTTATTCTCCATCCCAGAGTATATTTCGAAGTCGTACGCAAATCCTCGATCATCACACAGCACCAACAGTTTATACCCCCATTTATGTGGCTTATTAGGTAGATATTGTCGCAGCATGTTGGAGGCCTTAGTAGCGCACATCTGCTCATCCACTGACAATGCTTGTCGTTTTGGTATAGCTTGACATTTTTTTTTTAGGGTTTCTAACACAGGTCTGATTTTATGGAGACGATCATGTGTTGCAGTACCTGCTGGTGACTGAGTGGTATTGTCATTGAAGTGCAGATATTGACGAATTTTTTCAAACTGGTTTACTGACATAGTATTTTTTATCAATGGCAAACCTAATTCAGTTTCCCAGTACATTCGAGTATGCGGCAGTGGGGCAATGCCCATTAGCAGACAGATACCTATGTACTTTTTCAGCTCTGTAACGCTCGTAGAAAAAGGCTTTGATGGGTTTTTTTGTACACTAAACTTATGCATTTCTTCTACGATATGACTTAGAAAATCATCATCAAAGAAGTACAAAAAATATTGCAATGGAGTTTCAAGTTCAGTAATCGGTGGCTCTAGATCGGTTTGCCCACAAAACTCATGGGTTGTTGGTTGGAAAGCTGTTTTTTTCCAGATAATATTACGCTTTTTTCTGGCGACGGGTGCAGCAGAAGTAGAAGCAGCGTCTTTTGGAACAGTAGACGCGGAAGATACAACTGTAGATTGACGTGTTTGCCAAACAGTTGATCTAGATGTACTTGGAACATCAGGAATTGATCCACTAGTATTTGATATATGCTGCTGCATATCACCGTCACAGGACCCTGATAATGGTGAAACGTAGTCATATCTATTCGATAAAACAGATTCCTCTTCGTCATCCGTATCGCTAAACGTTTCACAAAGTTTGTTGATGGTAGATCGAATTACGGTTATGTCATTGTCACTTTCAGCGCCTGAGGAGTCTTGTTCATCTTCACTGCCTAATGGTATTGTCAAATAATTTTGGATTTGAGCACTGGATAAGCTTTTCTTCGCCATTATCTAAAAAAAAACAGCATCACACCTTTAGTGAATATACCTAATATTGTACCATCACTGCATGAAGTGACTCATCGGGAACATACATAAATTGTGAAAATTTAGTATCAAATCGCGATTAAATCAGAAAAATATACTTACTTTCGTTCAGTTCACAGATATTTCTATATAAAAACAATTTATCCACTGTTGCATTCCGTAAACAACTATTATTTATTATTTTTGCAAATTGTATACGCACGGCGCGCGGCTAACGTTCAAAATTTTTAATTGAATAACTAACCGCGAGAGATAGTGCTGCCATCCGATTTCAACAAATGCACTAAATAGGTGCCAATGATTGTTGTAAATTTATTTGCGTAATCATAGATGTCGCTACTTGGTTCAAATCAGAAAAAACATCGATTTTATTGGTTGTACTATATAAGGGACTGAATGCAGTGTAGGGTTAAGAATTGTTTTGCTTACAGGAAGTTACATAAATCATACGCGGGTGACAATAACTTTGATAAAAAGTAAAAATTATATATTACTTAAAGAGGATTTATAGGTAATAGGGATGATGACTGGGTAAAAGAAATGCAATTCTTTTTAGTCCGTCAGTCAGATAATAGAAAAATATTAGATACGTATTTTTTTTTTTACTTCAATTTAACAAGAAATAGCTTAGATAACAGGAGGAGTGGGGGCTCGCTACGTCACAGTTGAGTAGAAAACGTACTCTAACGTGACGTCATGCGAAATTTCAACTCAATGTAACACCGTTATTTTATGATTACGAAAAAAATAAAAAATACGTGTTTAATATTTTTTAACACTCTACCTGATGGACAAACAAACAAAAATTAGTCATCATCCCTATTGACCTTCGCCTAATGTTGTTTTAATAATAGCATGGCAATGTAGTTCTAAATAAAAACTTTTTGCAGGTTGGGATCACAAGCTTGCTGACAGGTCGTCGCTGCCGCCGGCATCTGGGGAGGAGAAGAGCAAATCTCAGTCCAAATATGTGTTCACTCAACCACATCCCTCTAAGTGAGTAACGTCTGTCACTTCCATACTTTGAGTATACTTGTTTTGCATGCAGTTTTTTTTTTCATTTGTTTGTGGCAACAACTGTCAAACATAATTATGTTACTTAAAATACACTTATTCCTAACATGCCATCGTTTTTCTAACATAATATTTGATGGAAAGACTTATTTAAATAGTTTACATAAACATAGAAACAAATTACTTGATTGGAAAATAAACTTTTGACTAAGAAGACAAAGAAATAAAACGAATCGCTATAATTTCATTTAACAATTGCCCAAATAATTGATTACAATTAAAGTTCTTATTTTATTATAGTAGTTGAAAGCACGGGTTATAAATCTAAATAATATAAAATAAAAAATTAAAGTTAATTTCTAACAATTTGTTGTGCTAAAGTTTTTGTTTTTCAGTTTAGTTTTAATATAGTTGGTCAAGTTTTTAAACATAAAGCTATACTGGAAAATATTCTTAATGAAAAATGCTCAAAAAATCCACCAGCCTCAGGTACTCTTGTGATTGATTGCCTGAACGGTAATGAAAATACGCTCGCTTGCAGCGAAAAAATTGCTTGAAAAATTCGTCAGTCCTGTTGGGTCCTGGGTAGCTCAGTGGTCAGAACAGTCGCCCGAATTGCGAAAGGTCGTGGGTTCTAGTCTCATCACAGAGTGTCTGGTCCTGGTGTTTTTTTTTAAAGAATTAAGTATCATTAAGAATATTTTGCACTGGTATTCTTTTTCGTTCATAAAAAAAAATACATTGCCATCGCCATCGAACATATAACCTTCTCCTTTTTGATTTTGAAGTTGATTAAAACCATATGTAAAAGACTTGCCGGAGAGGGCTGAGAGCTTCATAATTTACCATTAATTATTATTTATCTCATCACAGAGTATCTGGGGCTGGTGGATTTTTTAAGCATTAAGTATAATTAAGAATATTTTGCACATTTATGTTTGGGAGTCACATTGATAAAAACTGTTACCCCAAATATAGTAGAGGCTTGTAAATACATATAAATCAGTAGCCAGTATTATTGGAAATAGTATTCTCTGTACAATATTTTTAAATTTAAGCCCTCTTTGGTTAGTGCTACTACATAACATTGATGTAAAAATTGAAAATTAGTTGGCTGGTTAATGACAAACGGTCGCTTGTTGCGTAGGACGGGGATGGCATGGCGCGAGCAGACGGAGGGTTCGTCCGGTAGTTCAGCGCGCTCGCCCGCCTCGCCGCCGTACATGCGCTGGGCGCGTAGTCTGCCGGACCTGCTCGAGGTCTGTACACTGCACTATACTACACTACACCACACAACACTACACTACATCACGCAACACTACACTGCACTACACAACCCCACACACCACACGACTGTTCTTTTCAGTTAATGCGTTTTTTTGGAATTCAATGGATAATTTATTACAGTACACATAACACGTCTTGCACACCATATATGTTAAATTGGTTTTTAACTCCACCCTCACATTTCCAATACAAATTTGACATTTATCAGAGTTTAAAGGGGTCATTAAACTTTAATGAACGTTTGTGCAACCGACCGTAAGTCATTTTTGAGATAAATTCGAAGTCGGTTCTATATTTTGAAAAAGAAATATTTCATGCTTTTTAGTGATTTTTTTTTTATATAATAGGAAAGGAATTTTTTGTTTATTTGCTTGACATAGTTTTTTAATAATCGATACTCACATTAAAAAGACAAAAGATTTGATTGCTTATTTGTTTGCGTTGGATAGGTTCCGATACTTTCGACCCGACTATAAAATAATACTATAATTAATAACATCTACAGGAAGCTACATTATACTCGGCGGACATAGGCTATAATTTAACGCAGGCAAAGTTGTAGGAACAGCCAGTTTGAGAGAAATTGGTTCGCAATTCAAGAAGAGATCGATGTACCTACCTATATAAAAAGTATACATGCCTTTTGAAAATAGAAAATCCCTCTTTCGGATTTTAAATGAATGTAAAATATGCGACCTTTTGTTTTTTTTTGTTGAAATAAATATATCAAAATATTTAGGTGGTATCCTGATGAAAAGTATATTTTATTTTGTTCATCGTCATCAGCCATTTTACATCCCCACTGCAGGGGCCAAGACCTTCCTTATGGATGATTAAGAAGGATGGTCAATGACTCTTCCACGGTGGCTCAATGCGGATTGAAGGGTATTAACGACTGCAATTGCAGCCAGGACTAACGGTTTAACGTGTCTTCCGAAGTACGGAATACCCCGAGATAACATCTTTCGGTCGCCCATCCCATGACCGACCCTTGCGAAAGTTAGTTAGCAACAACGTTCGTAGGCAGAGGCGCGTATCCACTACGTCAGCGAGCTACTCTCATTTATTTTATTTTGTTATAAAAGGAAAATGACTGATTCTGTTTCGTCCATCAAGCTGTTGAATGAAAACAGAATTTTGAAAATCGGTCAACAATTCGCGGAAAAACCGATGCATAAAAAAATATATGGCCATCGAACATATGACCTTCTTCATTTCGATTTTGAAGTTGATTAAAACCGTACGTAAAAGACTTGCCGGAGAGGGCTGAGAGTTTCGTAATTTAGCATTAATTAAAAATATTTATATTATAATAATATATTTATTTTATATATGATCTCTATTATATTATTATATTGACTATAGTTTATAAAATAAATCTTTATGATTTGAAGATACATTGCTTTATTTTAATAGACACTTTCTTCATACGATTTCTTTTATTTATGTTTTAACATGTTCCATTCATTCATTATTCCATAAGAAGTTTTGTCTTTTAGTTCTATACCATGTCGTACCTAATGTATTCAGCACCTAAACCGAATAATTCGGCCGAATACGAATAGTGGAAAAGATGCCGAATACCGAATACCAAACGAATATTCGGCCCATCTCTAATTGTAACATTTCAAAAATTGTGTTTTACAATTTGTACACTTCGGCTTCCCGTAAATCGCAAATTCATAACTCGAAATCAAGTATGTGAGTTTGGTTCAGGACGCGGAGGGCGTGCGTCTGTTCCGCAAGTTCGTCAGCGACGCGGGGGGCCTGCACCTCGACAGGCTCAACTTCTACTTCGCGGTGCACGGACTGCGCCAGGAGACCGAGCCCGCCAAGATATGCCAGGTCGTCTCCGCTATATACAAGTGAGTACACCACACCAACGCACATTGTAACCTGTCGATTTCTACTTCGCGGTCGTCAAGTAGAGTGACGTCACGCACGTGCGATGACAGGATCATCCGTAGCGTATATAAGGTGTAATGTTAGGTGCCAGGACTTCGTGGGGTGGATTACTATCATACTATCAACAAGTTTAGGTATTACAATTTTGTATGAAACAGCTGATTACTTTTTCGCAAATTCAATTGCTCCCATAGTAAAAATTGGTCAGTATACTTAACTAATTGACCTCAGGAAGTCCTAGCAAATAATATTACACCTTATATATCTGATTATTTTTCAAAAAAATCGATTTATTTCTGAAGAAAGACCTACATAGACTGAGACACTAAAAATATATTGCCAAAAATCCTATTACTCTGCCCCCGAACTTCTTATTATCCTTGTATTTAAACATGCAATAAAAAGTAATTTGAATAATCAATCAAATAAATACTGAACATTTCACTGTAAAACCTACTTCTCAAGTAATAAAGGTTTTATTTCATTGAACTTCTATGCTGTCATAGCCTTGGGCTCGGCTTCTAGTTCGAGAGTGTTTTGTAATAGCACAATTGCTCTTATTTCATTGATGTACTCTGTGTCGTTAAGATTGAATGTAAATGTGACTATGCAGCCATGTCGATGTGTGTCAGATTCCTGCGCAAGTCACAGCTAGCGATGCCCGAGGAGTTGAAGCAGTACGTGAAGCAGAGCCTCAAGGATGGATCGAACATCGAGAGGACTATATTCGATAATATGGAGAAAGAGGTGAGTCCTATATCTACAGACGTTATGATATGTTCTACCGATTCTACAATTTAAAAGGTCTAGTGACCGACAGGACAGGTCAGGACAATATTTATGTAATAATCGCACCTCAATAGAATTTCGACTACTTGTATATTGAAATTGTACTACTTAAATTCCAATATTAGTGCGTATTTTCGCACCTTCTGTCATGGCGTCATCATGCCCTTCTCAAACTAACGTCGTTCTATGTATGCATATAAGGTTCAATACTGTACGTTCTGATATGTGTGACGTCACGCGCTGTTTACGTTCACATGATAACGAGTATATAAATTTTGTTTTTTCATAATTAATTTAAGCAATATTCTTAATGAAAAATCCATTTTGTTCCTGGCACTTTGAGATGGGACTCGAACCCATGACCCGACTGAGCTACCCAGGACCTAACAGGGCTGACGAATTTTCAAGTAGGGTAGCTCAGTTGTTAGAGCCAAGGTCATGGTTTTGAGTCTCATCTCAGAGTGCCAGGGACAAAGTGGATTTTAAGTATTTCTCATTAAGTTACATTTTTCAGTATATACAATTGTTCAAGTATAATAATTAAGCAATATTTTCAATATAATAAGTGTAAAAATGTGATTATCGGTAATAGTAAATTTGACACTGCCAAAAAACAATAATACGTATTTGTTTTCGTTAACTGTCCACACACGTATTGAGATGCAATTGACGTGAACAATGAACATAGCAAATATTTCGTTAACTGATATTATATGTATTGTAAATATCACGCACTATATACAATATGTGTCGCGCAGGTAACGCGGGCCATAAACGAGACGACGTATCAGGCGTTCCTGAGCTCGGAGGCGTACGTGTCGTACGTGAGCGCCGCCACGCAGCCGCTGTCCTCGCCCGACCACTCGCCGCCCGCGCCCGCGCCCGCGCCCGCGCACAGAGAGGTACACCGCACGACACTCAATGTTCAACTACCTCCCACCGTCTTCTGTCATTTGAAATTCCGTTATCTTCTATGTATGATTTAAAAATTATCCTTGATTTCTTGAACTTGGAAATGGGCATTATATTTTTGTTATATATTAAGTATGTATGTGACACTGATATTTTTTTTTCTTTAATCATAATCAGATGGAAGGTCTCGATTTCCAAAGTATATAACTCGTATACATTTACTGAACGGTAAAAGGAATAAAATAGAAATTAATAATTTATAAATTAAAAAAACAATGTCGAAATCGAACTGAAAATAAAAGTACCGAGTTGTATTTGTTTGTTTGAGTAGACATGTGATTCGATTGATGGAAATACTGTTTTACTTTTATATTTTCTGATATTGTAATGGAAAGTGACTTGTATGTAGTGAAGTATGAAATAAAACAGGGAGAGAAAAGCGGCCCTTGCCGAGTTTCTTACCGGTTATTTTCGGTACAAGGTCTCCCGCCGTAGATTTATGAGCGGATGGCGTAGCTCTAGACTTTCACAAGTGCTTAAACCATCCTATACTGAATAAATAATTTTGATTTGATACGACTCGGCTGAACAAAATTGCCATTGTAGTTGGGCTGTGACATTTTTGTAATCTATAATTTTTAATCCACATGTAGATATCGGGATGCGTGGGCGTGCTGGCGCCGCTGCCGGAGGGGCAGGAGGTGTGCGGGGGCGCGGGCGGGGGCGGGGGCGGGTACGGCGCGGCGCCGCGGCTCACGCTGGACGCGCTGCTCGCCACGCAGTCGCGCCGCCTGCACGCGGACGTCGCACCGTATGTATACGTGCACGCGCACGCACACGTACACGCAAACCATACACGCACGCACACACACATATACCGACACTGTACTCCGTTTCGTATAGCATAGACACGGTGACGTTTAACAGATCCATTTTACGCGATTTGTATTTTCGAATAATAAAAAACTATCGTTATAAAAAATTGTTTCACTGCGTACATATTAGATGTTTATTTAAATTTGCACATTAAAAGACTAATAAGTTTTTGACAATAAGACAATATATTTTTTTTATTACCACATCACTAAACACTTTAAACCTCAAACCTCACCGTGTCCATGCTATGTGAAAAAGACTTATACCACATTCATCAAACATGGAGACAGGACACGACACATTATAAATACGAACTGTAGTGTTACAGTTCAATTTCAAACGCGGCATATGTCGACCGATCATAATGAATCGAGTAACGTGCTATTGAATATAAATATAAATATGATGAGCGGAGTATGTTCAATTCAATAGAATTCTTTGTTACAATCTTGTCAAAATACAAAGTAGTCTATATAAGACAGCATCATAACATGAACCCTGTCAGGGCATAGCAACATCCAAACAATTGACATTAATACTTCTAAGTTGACATTACAATACAAAATATATTTTAATTTATGAGTCAGCGTCAATTGTATATTTTCCTTTTTGCCTTTACACAAACATTTTAATATCTTAAGTTGAACAAATCTACATACATTCTAATTATTTTCACATTGTACCTTGTCTTTTCTAGAATTAGATTTTAGTATCTGCTTAGTTATACGTTCCTTAGATAGAAGTCGTTTACAAATTTTGTGTTCTCAACAAAAATCATCTAGCACAATGAGTGTGATTTTTATAGTAAATTACGGCTTCGTATTTATGAATAAATTGCGTTATTTAAGTTTACTATTTTTTTTCTGATTTTAATTCATTATTATCATGTGTGACCCTGCAAAGTTGCATGTGTCCTTACTAGTAAATTTTTCATAAACTTTGATTTACCCCCTTTAATCAAAGAATCGAATACATGGATGGAAACTTTGGATGTCTCATTATTTTAATATTTAAAAACGAATTATATTATGAATCAATTCAAAACTAACCACAATAATAATAATACTTCATTTGACATACAGCATTAATTGAAATGAAGATTGAAATATTTTTAAAAATATATTTATATGTAAAAATCGATTTTATATTAGTGTATGCGTAACGAGACAATTTCAACTATCCATGTATTGAGCTCTTTGTAACGGTCAATTCGCCCCGCAGCTTGACTGATATATCCATGTCTCGTTTGCCCCCATGTTTGTGTCTCGCATGCTCGATGCCCCGCCGCATTGTATACACGCTAAACGCTGTCCCGCCGCTGGACCACCACGCCACCCCACCCACATATCCCCCTACCGAATATCGATCACCACCATCCTTTTCGTATCCTTCACTACTTCTATCGCTGTAATGGCCTCTATTCTTTATTTCTTTTCAATCGATCATTCTATTTTTTCGTATCTTGATTGGACGTTAAATAAACGATCCAATACTCGATATCGAACCGGTCCGATGGTTCGCGTCCCCGTCCTCGTCCCATTCCCGTGCCGGTACTCGTCTGACGCGTGGCGGCGGTCAGGCACCGCAAGCGGTCGGTGTACAGCGCGCACGTGACGTACGCGGGCTACTGCCCCGCCTCCCGCCACGACTCCGACCGCGCCTCCCTCAGCAGCGGCCGCACCGACAGCGACGCCGTCTCGCTCTCCGGCAGCAGCGTGTGAGTACACCGCCTCCCCCCACCCCCACACTCCCCCAGCAGCGGCCGCACCGACAGCGACGCCGTCTCGCTCTCCGGCAGCAGCGTGTGAGTACACCGCCTCCCCCCACCCCCACACTCCCCCAGCAGCGGCCGCACCGATAAACTCGTTCAAGTAGCGGTCAATCATCTCTTGCGATGTGTTTCTGTCCGCCGTCTGCTCTGCTACACAACAGTGAGTATATATCCCTGCAAAAATAATTTTGAATTTATCCATGGACAGAACATTGGTTTTTCCAATATTTTCAGTACATAAAAAAATCTTATTCTTCTAATATAGCAAAATAGCAAATTTTCTGGTTGTTTTAAACGCAAACAAAAAAAAATTATAAGCGTAAAATAAATATATTACAAGCCCATTAGGATTTTCGTACGCTTGTCGCTTTGATAATGTTCCAACGTTCGGAAAATTTGCCATTCTGTCACGACTTAGCCTCAGTAGCTGAAGAATAAATTGGAAACGATCGAATGTCACAAAGGTAAGTCTATTCGATTCAGTCAATGATTGAGGATTATTGTAGTGTTGGCTAGCGTGTAAAAACCCAAAGTATGCGGCTTCTCATGAACATAGTTTTTTTGAGCAACTAGTATTTGTTATTATTATAGATTTTTTTGTTTTATCTTTAGCATAGCCCCCTCGTAATCCTCGAATGCAGCTTAATTTTAATGTCAACCTAACTATTCATATTCATACATATCTCTTTTGTTGCAAATACCCTTGTTGCATTTTAATTTGTAATACTTAAAATCAAAATGCATTGACACAGTAAATACACGAACAGCAACCAGCTTCTTACTAAATACAAAAATCATCTACCATATATAGTTGGTTAAAGATTGTTTGAAATGTCTCCGAGCTAAGAGTATGTGACCAAAAGAGACATACTTTTGAATATTCTCGCAACATAAGTTTCTGTTTATTATTTTTGTCATAGTTAAAGTTAAAAATATGGTTTAAATAACAAGTTGGCACAACATATCAATTTGTTAAGGATCGATATCATAATTTAATAAGTAATGGTCATAAACACGAAAATGAAACTTATATGTAATACAAATTTTGAATGACAACAAATCGCTCAGCTGTTTGTTAAATCTCGTCTAATAAACTTAATTATCTGTGATAAAGTTTTTACTACATGTACGGTATATACTATTAATTATTATTATTGCTGTCTTTATTGTATTTGAACATACCGAACGAGATGTATTCATGTCGGTAAATATCCTGAATATATTATAAACTATGAGGCGTTGTATGTACGTGTGGTTGTCCTCTGTCTCGGTCGCTCACGTGTGCGTGTGTTGTGTGTGCGACAGGGACGGCATGTGCATGCGCGCGCGCGAGGGCCGCGAGGCGCGTCACCGGCAGCGGCTGCCCGGCCTCGACAGGCACGCCGTCATCAACCGGGAGCAGGACACCGCTATGGTATGTTGGCTATCAAGTTTAATTTTTAAGTTTTTCAACTATTACAATTATACAAATATAATAAACAAAAAAAATAACTGTGAAATCATATTGAACAAAACGTAAAATTAAAATATTTATTTAAAAAAAGGGAGCTTTCAATATTTGTATTTTCTTTTGGTTTTGTAATATAATATTACTAGCTTTCCGCTAGCGGTGTCGCTCGCGGCTTCACCCCTATCTATGAAAAAAACCGCATCAAAATCCGTAGTGTAGTTTTAAAGATTTAAGCCTTATGTAATCTCTATGTATGGATATAGGGACAGAGAAAGCGACTTTGTTTTATATAATGTAGTGATATGAGAACATAAACGCGACTTTTGATAATCGGATCTAGAAAAAAAAATATACAAAAATTCTTGATACGTTTATAAAACGATTTTTTTTACTAATTTTATCTTAACTATACAAAGTGTTGAGACAATATTTTCTATTTTATTGTATCATTTACACTTTCTAAATTAAATAACGGGTCAACTAGTTTCAATAATTAACTATAATAACAATAATTAGTTTCAGTAATTAATAACGCTTTGAACTGACTGTTATCGACCGTTACTAAATGAAGGCAACTCTTAGCGAACGGCAATTGATTTCATTAAAGAAACAAGACACCCCGATGCAGGGGCTCAGGCCTTCCTTATGCGAGTACTGGCACTGCAGGGATAGGCCTTCCTTACGGGAGGATGAGCCATGACCACACTGGTATATAATGACGATGGTTTGTTGGCATGTTGGTACGTTGCGTTGCAGATGATCCCGCGCACGCAGCGCATGCAGTCGGAGCAGCTGCGCGTGCTGCCGCCGGAGGAGTTCGCGCCGCTGCTCATCGAGCGGCTCGAGCGCGTGCGCCGCGACCAGGACTCCAAGGAGCGCCTGGAGCGCCGGCTGGCCGAGGTGCGATATATATCATGCATATGAAAGACTGCGAGTTCTAATATTTGTTTATCTAATAAAAAAGTACTATGCGTGCGAGGATTCCTAAGTAACGTATAGGGGGAAACTCGAAATTACTAGTTAGCTACTTCGGACCAATGTTGCCAGCGTCACATCTGGTTGGTAAATTTTATAGTTAAGACTCAATACTCAATCTAATAATATATCCGTTGATATTTATCAGTGAACACTGAAAATCGGAAAAATTTATTAGAACTGTACTGTGGTAAATATAACATTCATGAGTACACTTGATCTTCAGAAGATAATCTTAAACATTTAAATGCAATTATGGAATTAGTTAATGTGTCCCAGAAGTATAAGACATTATAGGGAGTGCGTTATATTGTACGTGTGTGTAGCAGGGCGATGAGGACACGTGTCAGGCGTTACCGCCGCAGTTGGTGGCGGCCGCCATACGGGAGAAGCTGCAGCTCGACGACGACAACGACCAGGACATACTCGGTCAGTACTCTACTATATACTGCCGACATCGACGTCGTATTTTATCTTAAATTACAATATTTACATAAAAAATTTGCTCGGTGGCGTAGTGAATAAATTTACATAAAGAAGAAGCTCGGTGGCGTAGTGGATAAGCGCCGCGCCCCGCGATCGTTGTCGTTAAGCAACTTTCGCAAGGGTCAGTGACGGGAGGGGTGACCAAAAAAATTATTATCTCGAGCTCGACAGTCGTTAATACCCTCTAATCCGCATTGGGCCAGAGTAGAGGGTCATGGCCCATCCTCCTTAACCATTCATAAGAAAGGATTGAGCCTCTACAGTGGGGACGTAAAAGGGCTGATGATGATGATGATGATGACATGAAAAGATCTTTTGCGACTCCTATTTTTTATCCTAAACTAGCGTAAACCTTACTCAAATTAGGTATGTTTTCTGTAACTTGCAGTTGTGTGATTGCCTAAGCTTTTACTGGTACTTATGAAAGTCGAAAGTCTATGTAAATCTATGGAGACATTGTACCGAGAAAAACTGACAAGAAACTCATGAGGAGCGGCCATTTTGTTTGTATAGACCAGCACGTGTCCCGCGTATGGTCGGAGCGTACGCCGGGCGCGTCGCCGCCGGGCGGCAGGCGCACGCGCGCGCGGCACGCGGCACACGCGGCACACGCGGCACATGCGGCACACGCGGCGCACGCGGCACACACGACCCACTCGCGGCGCGCGCCCTCCGCGCTGTCCGCCGACTCGGGGCACTACGACGCGCAGTCCGATGCGGCACATCACTCGCACTCCGCTAAGAGGTATAATTGCCAATGCGCCTGGCCGCCATTTTGATGACGTAGTTGCTTTCAAACATCAGTACCGTTAACAAATAAACATCGGTCGACGAGTACACTTATTGAGTTGGGTTATGGGCTACTCTTAAAAATATAAACATTAATTTCAATAGGTAATAAGAGTGTAGACAGTAAACTAAATTATATTATATTTGTCTTTTTTCTGTTATTAAAAAATGTATGAAATCAAGTGAATACTTTTTTACTTTCGATCCATATATGGTTGCGTATTTGTATGGAAACGTAATTGGAGGTACAAGAGGACCTTGGAGTGATAGATTTTTTGTTATTCTTTATGATACTTATCTATATCTGATTTGTATAAAAAAATCTGCGTCACGTTATATTACAGTTGAGCAATAACTAAAGTGACATATTTTTGTATGTTTTTCACAAGACAAAGTGCGTAATTACCATTCATAGTAGTTGGTAGTGTAAATAATATATTGTTAATTAAGTTTCTTTTCCATCATAATCTGTCACAGATCGTTCGGTAAGAAGACCGTGACGGAGTTGACGGATAGCGGCGTGTCAGTGGTGAGCGAGGGGGTGAGCGTGGAGCCGCGTATATTGCTGTGGATCGCGGAGGGCAGCGAGCGGTTCGAGCGAGCCGAGCGAGCGGAGCGCCGCCACCGGGACCTGTCCTCGCGCGCCTCCTCCGCCGACCGAGACAGGGAGGACCATCGACGGAACAAGCAGGCGCAACGACCCAGGTAGACGACACCAATATTTATTATCGCAAGTTTTATGATGAAAATCGTATTGTTTTTTTGGATTTTTTTTTTTTATATAGGAAATAGAGTAATTGTTATTGTTAATATTTATGTAACTTGTGTAAATTATAGTTATTTAAGATACGAGTGCGGAAAGTAAGGTTTTACGAATAAGGGCTAAATTCGTTTTCGTTGGCACGAATTCGAAGAACCTTTTACGCTCAAGTTTCTTACAATATTTTTCAATGCTTTTTGCGAGTAAATAAAACAAATATATAGGTTAATAAAACTAAGTATGTATGAAAGGTAAACAATTATTTGTTAAAATTAAACGTAATATTTAAACATGTTTTCGTGTCCTACATTTTTATTTGAAAATATTCGTTCAAGGCTCCTTGAAATACTTTTGCCTCTAAAGTTTGACATATTTTCATCAAATTTTTTTAATTTCTTTGGTGCTCGGCCAAAAAAATATAAAAAAAATACTTTTAAGCACGTGTGCAGTAAAGGATTTCAGTACATTTTTATTTAACACGTGTTTAAAGACTCACTTTCGGTGTTTACAATGAATTAAAAAAATAGTGCTTTATGAACAGCTACATTGAAAAAGATATTGTCAAGAGTGAATCGGTTCCTTCTAGGCAAGCACGCTTCATCTTAGACCACTGCATTGCTTACCATCAGGTGATCTGTGGCCAAGTGCTTGCCTATCTAGAATAATAAAAAAATAAAGATATTAAAAATACGTATAATTTTGCAAAAATAATTTAAATATTTACAAGAAAAGTGTCAAGGGTGTCATCGCCCCTTAGAGCAATGTTTAATACGTGCGTGTACGTGTACTCGCGGCAGGGGCGGCAGCGGGCGCAGCGGCAGCGGCGCGAGCAGCGGCAGCAACGTGGTGACGTCATCGTGCGCGGAGCACACGGTCGTGGTGGTCGCGTTCCTGGACGAGGCGGTGCCCTACAGGTTCAAGGTGCCCGCCGCGCCGCTCACGCTGCGCACCTTCAAGGAGTACCTGCCCAGGAAGGGGAACTATAGGTATATAATGTGCAACCACACCGCCGACCACCGACTCACTTTACATTTACCCATTTTTTTATAATGCATAGATAGATAGATAAATATTCTTTAGTGCATCATGCACACACAAAATTTTACAAAATTTCCCATAGCTAAAATAAGACAATATGTGTACCGCAGCGATGCGAATGAGCGAAAACTCAGTGAGTATTTACTCAGAGAGCAAAGCACTGATTTTCAGTTTTTACCCCAATTATTAGCGGTCACACAGTAAATATTAATATTTGAGGAATTTACAAAGAAATTGATAATAGAACTACAATACTAACCAGAAACTACAATGATTCTAATATGTACTTACTAACTAAAATATGTTATAAATGTATAACTTATATAGATTAATAAAATAAAGTAAATAGATAGTAATAAGTTATTCAGAGTCACAGCCACATTTGTAAGAAAATATAAAAACCAGTAACCGTTAACATATGAAATTGGTGTTCGGTATGAGAGGAACTAAAAGTCGAATCAAAGTATAAACCATTATTATCCGTCATAATCAGAATTTTTTTTAATCCACTAACAACGTCGGTAATGTAATAATATTTTTTCCCATATAGATGTTGAAATTGACACATTTGCTGTTGACTTACATCCACTTAACGATATTAAACGGCAGCAAAAAATTGTATATTGATTAAAAATTTTCCCTGATAAATAATTATATCAACATTGAAAAAAGTTTGGCCTTAAACATTCCAGCTCTATCAAAGTTAACAATGAACGAAAAAAATATATATTTATAATCCTCCAGCTTAGATATCGCTTGATTAAATTAGATATATACTTAAGAGTGACCGTTTTAAGCAATATTTTTTTTTCTCGCTCAGATACTTCTTCAAAACGAACTGCACGGATCTGGACACTGTAATACAAGAGGAGGTGTGCAACGATAGCGATACACTGCCGATGTTCGAGGGGAAGGTTATGGCGCGAGTGAAACCGATCGACTGAACCATACACATATACATTGCATCAATTTACACTGCACTCGAATTGAATTGTACGTTTGATTTAAATGTTACTTGCCTTAAGTCTCCACGAAGTAGTGAAGAGCTCGATTTCGCTCTGATCGCAAGATTAGGTAAGACAATGATTTTGTATCATTTCTGAACGGTTGTTTGTAATTAGCGAAAGACTAAAAAATAATTAATTTACTTTGTATGAGCATATTCGATCATTATAGCAGTAACAGATTTTTGTTTGTACTCTCTGAAGTTTTTTGTTAGAATTCCATATTATTCGAAAGTTCGTTTTCAATGCCAAACTAAATAAAAGATATGATAAGAATCATTTTAGATATAAAATAGTATCGGGTTGGTGAATGATCAGTTGCAAAATGTTCACACACAATAAGACACGATGACGATTCCTAATATTTATAGTGTATCGGTCGATTATAATTTGTGATGTATCCTATTATAATGCCAAATGTGTATGTGTGTATATGTATTGTTAAAGTGCACACTGTGACTGATACACCTACCGATCACCCTAACAGACTTCCAGTACATGACACTCAGTTTTAAGATCTATGAGGTTAATAATGAAACCACACGGATGGGTATCTTGCTATATCGTGTTTACGCAAACTAATGAGTTATTTATTTAGTTATACAAGGAAAACAGTGATAAGACTGAAAATAATAATTTTAACTTTTAACAGCAAATTGTCAATTACAAGTTCTCATACCGATGTCTGTGCTTGGTTTTTGTTAAGATATTTTTGCTCTTTGGAATATATTTTCTTAGGATGGATATGTCTTAGGTTTTGGTGGCGGACGGTAATATAAATTATTAGCATATATAGTTATCATAATTATTAGTACACTTGACTAACAAAATCTAAATATGTACCGAATAAGGCATTAACTCAAAGAAAATCATGATTATGTTATTGTTTCCTTTGAGCAATAAGATACTTCAACTTTTACGATTTAGTTTATTGAAGTTTAAAACCCCCAGACTCGTAGACATATCCATACTAATACATACGTTTCTCATCGAGTCTTAATTTGTTCTAAGAACTCATATTGCTGCTTGTAGGTTATTCTTTCTGTAGAGCAAAATATTGTTTTATTACTAAGCAGAGGCATTACGGGTGCCCGAAACTATTTCAAAGACTTCACATTGTACAATGTGCAAGCAAGCAAGTCTTCTAAAATTTTACCATATTGCCTATCATACAAAGTCACATGCCAATTTTAGTAATACATACGTCAAAGTAAACACGGTCTAGTAAGGTAGAGTTACAGAAACAGCCAGAGCCAGATATTAAATCAGTCGGCAAAATATTTTGTATACGGTTGATAGTCTGTGTTTATAATGTTATAATTGTATTTTACTTTAGACAATTTTCAATTGAAGTTTATTTCAGATTTATACAATATTTTATATACCTAAAAACAGGCTGAGAAATAACGTACTAATTATTAGTAAGAGATTTTGTTAATAAATGTGTGCCGTCTTGTCGAAATCAAAGTTGATACATCCAGCAGTCTCCTTTTTGATTTGGCTAAAAGTGCAAAGTGCACTGTGCTATTTATAGTTACTCATTGGCATGAAGGGTTCCGACCAATACACGCAACGTTATGTTGAGACTCCTACAGTGAATCCGGTCAAATTAGATTGCCTTCATCAGTTCGAGCTTGGCGTATATGGAAGCAAAAGTATAATTATAAAAACACCATTGAACATTTTACTTACGAGAGTTTTTTCCTTTTTTGTTTAAAAAAGAAAGATTTTCGTTATGCGTCGAACCGGAAAAACTAAATATAATATTGTGTGTTTATTATAACAAGGAATTGGTGTAACTACAATAAAATTGATTAAAAATGGAATATAAAAACAAAAATATATCATGATAGATGTATGCTTGTTCATGATCTTTATATTCAACATATATGTTGCTGAATTAACAAATTTCGGTAAAAAATCAAAACTATATAATTATATTTTATGATCCAGTTCAGTGCCAATAATAATTTATAAATTACGTTGTCGTATATTCGTTTTAACGTGAGACTACACGTTTGTTATTTTACCGATCGACGTTTACATGACATGGTGCATGATTTTGTGGTGTTAAGTCGTTGTGTATGATTATAGTTTTATCGAATACTATTATAATAAAGTTAACATGCGCCACTGTCCACAGCGGCAGTGGTTGTGTACATAATATTTATTTGTACCGTCGATTATTTATATGCGCTTCTAGAAGCGTTCCCCGTGTACAATATACACTATTCCTCATTGTGTTTTAGCTTTGATTTCGATTATTTTTCACTTGGAGCTAGCTGAGTACGCTTACTATTGTACTATATATTTTTTTCTTAAATCAGGTTACATTTTTTTTAAATAATATTCCTAGTGTTACTTGAATGACTGCTTAGTTTGTATATTTTTTAAATTAATGTTTTTAGATATACGAGATGTGTTCTGTTAAAATATTATACTTATACTTGTTATAATTGGGGATACGGGAATCGTGACAGGCGTACTATGCAATGAATTATACAGCCGGAGACAAAATATACTTTGATCGTCTTCCACGTGTTTAGTCTATGTTTATATATCCGAATGGTTCAAATTCCCCCCCTCGATGACATATCATCTTATATTAAAAAATGATACAGGTGTGTTTTGTCTTCGGCTGCAGTCAATCAATGTTACATTATCCAACATATATTATGGGATCTCAATTAGTATCAATTTATGTTCCAATGAATTATCGCACTAAGTGAACATTAAATATTATACATTATTTCCGTTCTGCAGCTGTGAATAGGACTAATTAGCCAAATAGAAGTAAGAATAAAGTTGTGTATTGTATCTTACTAATCGCGGACGAGGTTATATATATATTTTGATTATTTCTGTACTTTGTTTACATTAGAACTATGTTTCAGAAATGTCCATGAATTAAAACAAAGTAAATAGCTTAACCTCTGTGCTCGAAACAGAATTCAAATAACATTTTTCTAACTATGCGATTGTTTTTGTCAGATTACTGAAATTATTGATATGCAAAGTATTTTTTATAATAAAATTATCAATACAACATTACGAAATGCAAATCTCTTTATGTTTCTGTACTCGATATAATCTCGTCAGCGGCACCGAAATGTACGTTGCTAATGCGAAATAATTGTCAGACTGAGTTTCCCTAAGTCAACCTAGTTATGATAGCTAGTCCACGTTGGCTCTGCACGCTGCCCACGCGACCGACCTCGACAGTACTCGACAGTCGGTAGCGAGTCGTGCAAGGCGAACAGTTCCGTACAGTACTTATTACGTGCATATTTGTATTAAATTATAAATAAGTTAGAGATTGTCGTGTCCGGTCCATATAAGTACGGTCGTCGATGAAAGCGGCCCATTTTGTTGCCAATTGTAATAAGACAATTATTTTTTTTTTGTATACAGGGTTATTTAGATAACACCAGCAACCACGCAAAACAAGATGACTATAATAAAAAACGATAATATTTGATCTACCAGTGTGACCATAACTTAATTATTTGAACAAAAAATATTTTTAGTTTTAATTGTACTACTGTTATGACATACCTTTATGTTTTATCCAGATCCACAAACGAAAAGACGAAGCTACGATCGCGCGTTGTGCGAAGTACCTACATATAGGGATTCAGACTTGTTAGCATTCAAGCGATAAATTAAATTAAAATATATTTTCGTGTATAAGCAAAATATAAGGAAGATCAAGTCACTAAACAAGCCTTGTTTATGATGTTAGCTGTCTACCTAGTCCTGCTGTTTCACATATAACCCTGTATATCACTATAATGCTGCGTTTTCATCGGCGACCGAACAATTTAAAGAGTATAGAAGTGTTGCCAGCGAAAGAGTGCACCTAACGAATGCACAATTATGAGAATAGGGTGCGGAAACATGTGCCTTCAATGTTGATAAATTTTTCATAGTTGATGCTTCTAATTAATAAATATGTAAGTTAACACTTGTAAATATAGATGTAGCGCTATGATTCGAACTCTATTTTTTATTAATTTAATTCTTTTTTATTTATTGTCTAAGATCACAACTCAAACGCCTTCCAATACGTCTCGGACGCAGCTAATGAATTTTCAGACATTTATGTTGAATGAGACAGTTTCAAGTCCACTTCTCGATTGTTTGTCTTCTACCACTACCGTTATTATACCACGTTATGATAATAAAACTTTTCTAATATATTATTTCCAGCAATATTGGTACTTAAGTACAGAAAAATTGAAACCTGTTAAATTGTATAAAATGTTAGAATATTGTGTCCGAGATGTTTAAAAAAAATATGACCGCACTGCGGCCATACGACAATATGTATAAATAGATGAACTTTATAATTTTTAAATTATGTAATACGATAAGGCACTTTCAGTAAATTAGTGTTTCGAAAAGTACCTTATTAAATATCTACCAAATTGTCCTCGAGGGCTCAAAATACGTCGAGTTGAAATTGCTTGTTAAAAATTGTAAAAAAATAATATAATGTTTCCAAGTTAGATTGCACATGATTATGGAAATTAATTACGAAAAATTTGTATTAAATATTGACGTACTAAAGTATTACCTTCAATAAATTATAATTCATGTAAAAGTTGACAGAATATCGTAACTAATGATAGTAAAAGAATTTCACTAATCGGACTGTATTATTTTTTTATCAAGCACATGTAACATTTAAAAATAAACTGGAACTGTGCCATACGCGTTCGCCTTTCATTTTACATTTATGACTTTAATGACGATCCAAGCTTGCAAGCTGAAGACCCACTTCCCGGCTGTCGATTAAGTTGTGTATACATATATTACTTGGATGACAATACAATATTAGCATATCAAAATCCAAGAAGGTGGCGCTGACAGCCTGATGGACACCGATTCACCGTCTATGGTATTTTTTTTCAATTTTTTTTTTTATACAAGTATGTGATAAAAAAAATGAAATTATAAAGATATGAAATAAAAAGGAAAATATCTTTATTCAAGTAGGCTATTGCAAGCACTTTTGAATCGTCCAAAAAAAATTTTTTTCCCCTACCACTTGTTCAGGACGTCTTTTAGCTGACAAGAACAAGCGAAAGAAACTTACCAGCTTTTTATCATAAGTAATGACCAGTGGTCGGAATTAGGTAGAGTTATTCATGTACTTACACTGATTTCATACAGCGAAAGAATAAAATGGATATGCCTCAAATAAATCAATATTTAACAACATCACATACATTGCTCAGATTCCAAGATTCCGTATTATGGAGTATCTGAGACAACGAAGGTACCACAATACCCAGACCCGAGTCAATATAGAAAATTTCATTTTCTACATTGATCCGACCGGGAATCGAATTTACTTTTACACAATTTAAACTACTGCACGCACGACGTTGCCAAACTTACATCAATGACATCGGATGTCCAAAGAATTAGAAATTGTCCATTAGAAATCCCGGTAGGTCCACATTAATATCAACATTTCGATGCAAGTTCATAAATAACTCTACCTAATTCCGACCTCTGGTAATGACATTTACATAAATCATTTCATTACCAAAATAATATGTATTATCACAATAATAAATACAACCTTCAAAGTCTGTAGGACATAGGTTGAACATAGTCTTTATAGAACAAAGCAAAGGCTATCAATTTCATGCATTGCGATCCTTAAAATAATCATTAACTTTATAAAAGCCTTTACTCATAAGTATATTCTTTACATGAATTTGAAATGTATGGGTAGGTCGATTACATTTTGTGGAACTTTATTGAACATAGCAATACATTTACCCAGAAATGATCCTCTGGTTTTTGGAAGTCTGAAGCTTGGAACGGCAAGTTTATTTTTATTTCTTGTGTTAAGATTATGAACACTACTTTTTTTTGTGAAGGAATCGTAATGTTTTCTTGTGTACCTATATAATATTCTCATAGATGTATTGAGAGGCAACAGTCAGAATATTTATTTCTTTAAATATTTCTCTGAGAGATCTTGTAATATACCGATCTTGCCGTTTCAACTTTTGTCAAGAGTCTAATTTTCTTAACAGCAAAAGCTGCAGAACTCAGTCTACTTGACAAGCTATAAATATGAGGATCCCATTGCAGTCGGGAATCTAGTGTAATACCAAGGAACTCTGTCGATTCAACTAACTCAACTTTTCACTATTTACATTTATAAGTGTACTGACATGCCTCACATTAGGTAATGCAAACTTTATGCATTTCGTTTTATTTGAATTGAGCTTTAAATTATTATTATCAAACCACTGTAGAACATTGTCGAGAGCATTTACTTACATCGTCAAAACAATCATTACCCCTCTCAACTTTAAACAGTAAAGAGGTGTCATCTGCAAATGATACTATCTCGCACAAATTCTTCGTAAAGTGAGGAAGATCATTAATATAAATTAGAAAAAGCAATGGTCCTAATACCGATCCCTGAGGTACGCCCATAGTAACTGGTGCTCCTGCAGATTTCGCTTCATTAATTACTACTTTTTGAATTCTAGCAGAAAGATATGATTTTATTAGATTAAGTGAATTTTTCGTCACACCATAATGCTCTTAATTTCATGTGTTTAAGTGTTTCATGACTAACGCAGTCGAATGCTTTTGATAGATCGCAAAAAATGCCAATAGCATCTTGTTTATAGTGAGATACATATGAAATCAATAAAGAATTCTGTTCAAGAATATATTTATTGCCAATAATATTGCTTAGATATATATGTATAAACAATAGTAAAGTTATGTTACTGTTAAATTATTGCTTATCAGTCACAAACAAAACTATAACAAAGTGTAAAAATAAAAACAAAACGATAAATACTGAACAAAAATACTTTCACACACAGATAATCACATTTTTTATTAAATATTAAGCTTCAATTTAGATTCGTTTTGCTATCGTGTTATCACCCTGAACACATTTTCTTCAATTACAAGGCGTATGTAGAACAGCAATTTATTTGTTACAACACAAGTGAAAAATTGGTTCATTATCTTATTTCATCGAGGATTCGCTAACAAACCAACGTTGTAGCGCATCAATATCGCATCGCTTGCTTCTTTTCTTATGTTACGGGCAAAAGTTCTTGCATCTCCCGCCAGATGGCATTGATTGCACATTCTGACCGGAGAACTATCACGATTTCCTCCTAGACAGTTGGCGCCGCTCGCTATCTGAACACGTCTCTGATGCCTTGCAACAATCGCTGTGTGAGTGGATCGTCATCGCCGTAACCCGCGGAACGTATGTGATGCGATACGCTCGATATGCACTGCGGAGTAATTGTATATTATAGTTATTTATTAAATACATCATAAGGGGTCAAATAAAGCGTGGTAGGCTGGCGTAACAAAGAAATCACAAAAAAAGTGTTCTAATTTGAATATCCTAATTTAAACTTTTTTCGGTCGGGTGGTAGTTTAATTATTTCAGATGAATATAGCACTAGTATTTTTAAAGTTTCATTTGAGATTTATTTCTCTCCAAAAGAGGAAAACATATTTTTATTCATTAATTTAGACAATCATTTACGTCGTGACGTCACATTTCATTAGTACCGGTTGCACTCGCGAAAAGAAGTTGACATTAAGTTTATCAATTAATGCAGAATTAATGATATGAAGAATGAATATGATGTTGTTAAACGTGTAGAAGTACCTTTTCCAAGTAAGTCATCTTCGCCTCCGGACAGATGTCTGTATTCATGTCGACGCTGTGCTCGTCGTTCGGTCGATCCACCAACATCTCCGTTAGTTCAGCCAAAAACTCCGACAAGTTCTCTAGCGTCAGATCAGGAACTAATTTTACATTGAATCGGTAACCAGCAGGTGTATCTACATCCAAGTCCTCGTCTTCAACTCTGATACAACTGGAAAGAGAGATATTATACTAAAGATATTGCCATACCACATCGGAGAAGGATAAGAATTTCTTAAATGAATAATGGAGAAGGTAGGATTTTTTTTTAATGTCATTGTCGCTTTATATGCCAAGCTAGCCAGACATATCTATAGAATAGGTTTTTATTCGGCAACACACATCACATACACAATTTACATACAGTTTATAAATTTGACAATAAAAAAATAACAAAAAAGGAAACAAGAATACAGAATGAAGACACTGAATGGTAAATAATAGTAAAACGGGGCTTATTGCACAGATATTCTGCAAAAGCCAGCAGTGACAACACAGACCATTTTACAACCATAAAATAATAAATAAAAAACAAATCATTACGTGTAATAGCCAAAAGATGACTACGGCACGTGTAATAGACGGCGATAGTGTAACAGTTACCGGTACTGCGAGGCGGCGCGGCCCACGGGCCAGTGCTGCGAGGTGAGCAGCGCCAGGCAGGGCCCGGGCGCGAGGGCCCGCTGCAGCGCGCGCTGCGTGTGCAGGTCCCGGCGCGAGGGCGCGCACGCGAACGTCGGGTGCGAGTGGTGCCAGCCGCACACCGCGCGCCCGCGCCGCCGCAGCCACGCCCCCGCCAGAGCCTGGGACACTGACCCTCAAACTTGATCGTCACATCCGATATCGATGCGCACACAAACTATATTACATTATACTGCTGCATCGATGCGATGCGTCGGATTTGGTATTTCGCTTTGGGAGTGAGTGAAAGAGCAATATTCAAGTATTCTAGGGATTCAAAACGTTAGCGTATGAGAATTAAGGTTGTTTCCATAACTTCCTATGTATTTTAGCACGTTTATTCAGACTTAATTTTATGAAAAATACGAAAAAAGTATGCAGTATAGTTAATCGCACGCCGGTTTAATTTTCCCGTGCTAAATTAGCTAGTGTGTCCGTGGCTTGAAATTACCGAAAGATCAATTAACACATATATAGTTTCAAAATATATATACTTTCATAATCCAATATTGAATAATTTATTTTATGAAAATCTGATATTATCAACCACTACCTTAAACATTCTAAATTGGTATAAGAGCCCCACCGATGTATTAAAGACATTACCTTAAAGTTCTAGAAAAGATACCTGTCCCTTTCTAGCCGACCCGATGTATACCTATATGATAAACGTAGTTTCAACAGTGTTAGCGCGATTCATTGGCACATAACGCCATATAGTAAAGGTCGATCTTAAAAAATATATATACTCTTCCTAAAAGAGACATGATTCATTTGTATTTTTTTTTAATAATGGGTGCAAGGAATTGCACACACATAATAAATAACCCACATGAGGATGGATGATAGAGTTCAGTGTTACGATTATATTAGAGTTTAAAGATATATTTATCACGATAATCATTACTCCAAACCCTGGAAATTGCTATTACAGTCCAATAATACTAATAGCTATCGGAAGTCGAAACTTACCTGGGTCCATGTCGCAGTGCGTTGACCCGGCGGCGGCGGCGGCTGGACGGTATGCGGCCACGGTGAGTAACATGTGGGGGGAGGAGGGGGAGGCGGGGGAGAGCACTCCCCCCACCAGGCCCATCACCTCCCCGCGCGACAGGTGCCCGTGCACGTCCATACTGATCAGCGCGGACACGTGCAAGGACACAGAGAACGGCGCCTGGCCGATAAAATAGTTAATTAAAAAATATAGACGCATGCTATTACAAGCATCAAAAAATATTACTCAGTAAATAATTAAAATTCGTAAAGATATATCATCATCAGCCCATATTCGTCCACTGCTGGACATAGGCCTCCCCAATTGCACGCCATCTACTTCGATTTTCGGCTGTTCGCATCCAGCTCCTGCCAGCCATCTTGCGCAAATCATCGCTCCATCGCGCCTGAGGACGTCCTACACTACGTTTGCCGAGACGCGGTCTCCACTCAAGAACTCGTTTACCCCAACGGTTATCGGTTCTGCGGCTAATATGGCCAGCCCACTGCCACTTCAGCTTGCTAATCCGGTGGGCTATGTCGATAACCTTGGTTCTCTGCCGGATCACCTCATTTTTGATTCGATCCCGCAGAGAAATGATATGATAAATGATTATATGTAATATTATAAAAAGGAAGGATTTGTTTGAATTGAATAAGCTTTGAAACTACTGGATGGCTTTTTAAAATGTTTTACCTATGGTAAGATACATTTTGCACGGTTAATATAGGATATTATTCAAGCAGGCGAACACGGCTAGTCTTAAATAATTATAGGCTAAAAGCTTATATGAAATGTACACCCAGCAATACACAAATTTGTAATATAATGTAATTTATCTGCAATCCAATTTGAACTTTACAATTACCAAAATTAAGATAAAAAATCAAGAGTTTTGGATAACCTGTTGACTGAACATAGTTGTTTTAAACCATGAATGAACCAATAACAATATTCATTTAATATGGAAGCATTATGACATTTGATGCTAACTGCATGAAAAACTGTAATATTAACATTGTTCTGATATAATTGTTTAAATTACAATTTAAAATAGTGTTAATAGATTTTTAATAGCATCTTGACCTAACCACATTTCGTTATATAAAGAATCCAGATTCAAATGCAACCCAGATTTCATGTGCTTCAAATATATATATGTACAATATAAAAAAATTATATTGATTCTCATCAAAATAAGATTCACATAGGCAAGTTTTGTAGCTGTAAGAACTTCATAAAAAATATTGTAAGCTGTACACTTACAGGTCTATCAGCATTATAGATTCGACACTCAATCAGATGTATGGGCTGTTTTCTTGTTTGTCGTTCCTTGCGAGGTTCTGACGCTACCTCGACCAGATCACCAGATTCCGTGTGCATTATTGTAAAACCTCCGCCGCCATCCTAAAAATAAAATGGAAATGAATTGTTTTCTATTAAATTTACGACAATTTTAGCCTAATCTACATATTAATGATTCAATTATTTTTTATCAAAAGTTATCTTCTTTTTTTGACACATTGAATACAATCAAGTTAGTGATTGGTGCAGGAGTGCACTTATATACACTACCACACGCAAAACACTTAATATCAGATAATAAAGAAACAAAAAACTGTAAATAAAATAACTATAGAAACTAACTTATTTATTTATTTAATTCTTTATGCACAATCGTACAAAGGCGGACTTAATGCCTTAGGCATTCTCTGCCAGACAACCTGTAGATGATTTGAAGATTAAAATAAAAAATAAAAGCAAGTACATATGTAATCATTGAGAGAAAAAAATATATAAAAATAAGCATAACAGAAACATATATACTATACTAGCTTTCGCTTGGTTGCCCCGGGCTGCGAGCAGCCCGGGGAGGTCACGAGTAGCTGGTGGTATCGGGGCGGTGGGGTTTCAAGTCCGCCTATTGTTATGTCGGGTTTACAGTTTGAAATTGCGTAGAAAAGGTCAGTAAGTTCTATCTTCAAATAAAAGGTGTTAAAGGACACAAAGCACCATACATCAAAGAAAAAGTGTTGCCTGTTGACACTTAATAGAAAAAGAAATATTCAGTCGAAAAACGCAAGCAAAACTTAAAATTAATTTTGTATATATACTTAAAATAAGTTTTGTCTTTTATTCTCTTATTCTTATTTATTAGTAAATTACTGTATAATATTAAAAAACAATCGAACATATATTTCCATCACTGTTACTATCATTAATTAATCAATTAAATGTCAAGAAATAGTATTTATTGTATTTGCATTATTACATTACATTATTTATGTAAGATTTATTTATTATACGAAAAGGGAACCGATGTCGTGGCCAGATATTAGAATAGATAAATTCACGACGCGATGGGGTTTTAAGTTCGCCTTCGTTTCAGAATAGAAGCTTTCGCCCGGCAGCCCGGGGAGGTCACGAGTAGCTAGTGGAATCGGGGCGGTGGGGTTTCAAGTCCGCCTCGGAAGCGGATTTTAATATTTTTCGTTTTTTTATCATGTTGGGTTTACAGTATGAAATTCTACAAAAAGTTAGTAAGTTCTATCTTCAAATGAAAGGTGTTTAAGCACCATACATCAAATAAAAAGGGTTGCCAGTTTACGCTTAGTAGAAAAAGAAATATTCTGTCAAAAAATGCAAGCAAAACTCAAAATAAATTATAGTCTCTTATTCTTATTCAATAGTGAGTTTATATTTAGTATAAAAAAGGATCGAGTAGATATTTCGCCCAGTGTTACCTTAAATAATACACCAAATAAAGAAATGTCAAATTTCAAACTCATACCTACGTAGAACACTTTCATTTTGAATATCAAAAGAACATGTTTTCTCAATAATCTAAAAGTATAGAAAAATATATTTTACGCATTAAATATCGTTGGTATCAAAAATTTGAATTTTTTTTCTCCATACTTACCTATGTGAAAGTGTGGGTAAGATACCTACACAAATGGTCCATATATACACGCTATAAAGATCCCGAATTGTCAAGTCAAACATTATAAACCAAATGTTACCATCAAAAAAAGCGATTCGTTTCTGGCACTTCGCCGGCCGCTGCCGCGGCACGCTCGCTACGCTCGCTCGGCTCGTGCGCTGTTTTTCATACACTAACCTAACCTAACCCATATGTCATAATAAACCTATAGAAGTTTTTGTTGCTTTACTTATTGTAAAGTTCTTGAGCATAAACGAGTCGCTTGTGGAATCGGAGCGGTGGGATTTTAGGTCCGCCTCTTGTTATGTTTACAGTTTGAAATTGCCTAGAAAAAGTTAGTGAGTTCTATCTTCAAATGAAATATGTTTAAGTATACAAAGCTCCATACGTCAAAGAAAAAGGGTTGCCAGTTTACACTAAATAGAAAAAGAAACATTCAGTTGAAAAACGCAAGCAAAACAAAAATAAAATTTGGAAATTGGAGTTTTAAGACCGCCTCTTGTTATGTTGGGTTTACAGTATAAAATTGCCTAGAAAAAGTTAGTAAGGTCTATCTTCAAATAAAAGATCTTTAATTACGCAAAACATCATACATAAAAAAAAGATTGCTAGTTTACACGCAATATAAAAAGAAGTATTCAGTTGGAAAACGTAAGAAAACTTAAAATAAATGTTGTATACATGGCCTTGTAGTCTTTTATTCGTATTCAATAGAAAATTTCCTAAAAATCACAGTTTCAAAAAAAAACTGTTTTTTATCATCCGGCAACACTTCAACTGAATTTTTTTTTCTGTAAGTAATCTGAAAAATGTTATCAATAACGCCAATATTAGCTCTATAAAGTAAAAATGTAGCGTAGCTCGGTGGCGTAGTGGATTAGCGCCGCGGCCCGTGATCGTAGTCGTAAAGCAACTTTCACAAGGGTCGGTCACGGGATGGGTGACCAAAAAATTATTATCTCGAGCTACTCCGTGCTTCGGAAGGCACGTTAAGCCGTTGGTCCCGGCTGCATTTGCAGTCGTTAATACCCTCCAATCCGCATTGGGCCAGCGTGGAGGGTCATGGCCCATCCTCCTTAACCATCCATAAGGAAGGCCTGAGCCCCTGCAGTGGGGACGTAAAAGGGCTGATGATGATGATGATGAGAGAGTAAAAATGATACATTTTCTAGAAAATGATACATTTTCTAGATAAATGGTCGCTGTCTTAGCCGCCATCTTGAATTTTGAAATTTCAATTTCAGACCTTAATAGCACACTTATAAGCACATTTGGTCACAGTTCCTTAACCGATTGACCAGGTCTCCATTTATTATGGCTCGCTTCGCTCGCTTTTTCTTTTTGTTTTTTTCGCAGATCTAATCTAACCGATTGACCAGGTCTCTATTGATGGTGTCCTTTATGGCTCGCTTCGCTCGCATTTTATTTTAGTCATAGTTCTAACCCTACCAATTAACCAAATCTCTCTTAAAAGTTACTCCTTATGGCTCGCTTCGCTCGCTTTTTGTTTTAGACACGTTGCTAACATAATCGATCGATCAGGTCTCTCTTAATGGTCTAGCATTATGGCTCGCTTCGCTCGCTCTTTATTTTGGTCATAGTATTTTAAGCAATTGACCAGGTCTCCATTTATTATGGCTCGCTTCGCTCGCTCTTTGTTTTTTTGACAGTTCTAATCTAACTGATTGACCAGGCCTCTATTGATGGTGTTCTTTATGGCTCGCTTCGCTCGCATTTTTTTTAGTCACAGTTCTAACTTTACCAATTAACCAAATCTCTCTTGATAGTTACTCTTAATGGCTCGCTTCGCTCGCTCTTTATTTTGGTCACAGTCCCTTGAACGATTGACCAGGTCTCCATTTATTATGGCTCGCTTCGCTCGCTTTTTGTTTTATTCACAGTTCTAATGTAACTGATTGATCAGATTTCTATTGGTGGTGTTCTTTATGGCTCGCTTCGCTCGCATTTTATTTTAGTCACAGTTCTTACCTTACCAATTAATCAAATCTCTCTAATTGGTCACTCTTTATGGCTCGCTTCGCTCGCTTTTTGTTTTAGTCACAGTTCTAATCTAACCGAATGACAATGTCTCGCTCGCTTTATTTTTCTTGTGAAAATATTGGATTTTTTTTCTCACCACATAAAGATTGAGTAAAGATAAACAAACGGTCTATATATGCAAAGCTTCCGAGTCGCCAGCTCGGTCAGAATAATTCTGAAATTAATATGGTGACTACTATCAATGTTGCTAGAACTCAAATTATTCCATCAATTATGTTATAAATGCAACAGTAAAAATTTTATTAAACAGTAAAATCATTGTAAAAAAATATTTTAATATTTTTTATCAACGACATACATTAAAGTTTCTCAAAAATCTCGGTATCAAAAATTTTACAATTTTTTGTTTTCATCTGGCAACACTTCAGCTGAATACATATTTTTGTTAAAAGTATTCTTTAAAATGTTACCAAAAACGCCAAAATCAGCTCTATAAAGTGAAAATTATGAAAAATTATCAATTTTCTAGATAAAATGGTCGCTGTATAAACCGCCATCTTGAATTTGAAATTTCAACCTCAGACCTATGTAGCCCATCTATTGGCGCATCCAACGCAGTTTTTATTATTTTCCTAGCGGCTATAATGACTGTGCTAGACTCTAAAACGTGAATAGTGGGCATTGAACTTTCAAACCGCCGTAGCTGCCGGGGTTGCCAGGTGTAGACGATGAAAACAGTCAAATGTGATTTCGTGTTGCGCCCTCCATCGTCGGATACCAATTTTCAAGTTCTAAAATTGTTCCTTTGACATTTACAGTTTTTGGGGTAAATCTCAAAAACTACCCTAAAATCGGGTAAAATTTTTCCATGATACGAAAGAGTCTATAGAGATGCACAATCGCACCATACATGCCAAATACCTGCGGGGTTGCCAAGTCGGTCAAAATCGAGGTTGAATTTCAAACGTTGTTTGCTCTCAGTGTTGCCAGTCGATCGTTCTATTTTTTCCATCGGGTATCTTGAAAAGTTAAAATTAAAATATTTGCATCAAAAAAGTTCAAAAATTCGACAAAAATTGTTTCCTCAAAAATCTCATAAAGTATCAAAAATTTTCGAGATTTTTTTTCACCTGGCAACACTATAGTTACTTGCCTAAAAAATGTTTCCCCGGAAGTACTCTGACAAATGTCGGCAAGTGCGTCAAAATCGGCTCGATGTGGTGACGATACCCAATTTTCCGGATAAAACGGCCGCTGGTTTGGCCGCCATCTTGAATTTTGAAAATCCGGCTCCGTACCGGTGTGGCCAACTCGATAGCGCATCCGATGCAGTTTTTACCATTTTCCTAGTGGCAATACTGACCGCGCTAGAGTCGACAAAGTAAAAAATGGGCAAAATTTTTCAAATCGCCGCAACCACCGGGGTTGCCAGGTGACGACGATGAAAATAGCCAAATGTCAT